TTAGCAAGACCCTATCTCAACAACAACAAAAAGCTGGAATGGTGAGTCACATCTGTTGTTTCAGCTATATCAGGAAAATACTTAGGAGGGTTATGGGGCAGACTGGCTCTAAGCAAAAAGTGAGACCCTATCCCAAAATAGCCAGAGCAAAAAGGGGTAGAATAATGGCTCAAACGGTACACACCTGCCTAGCAAGTACAAGGTCCTGTGTTCAAACCCCATTTATTTTTTTAAAGAAGAATGATGGGCTGGGAAGGTGGCTCAGTGGTAGAGTGCTTGCCTTGCATGCCTGAGGCCCTGGGTTCGATTCCTCAGCACCACATAAGCAGAAAAAAGCATGATATCAGTGGTGCTGTGGCTCAAGTGGTAGAGCGCTAGCCTGTGCCCAGGCCCAGAGTTCAGGCCCCACGATCGGACCAAAAAATAAATAAAAAAGAATGATGTCTGGAACTTAAGACCTTCCATTCTTTGGTACCTAAGGAGGTGCCCAATAGTAATAGTAAAGGCTAATGAAAAGCTACAACTACCCAAAAAAAGGCAGGATGATTGACCACTTAACCTATGAGAAATGAAAGTTTTTGTCACTCCTTTAGGTAAGAATTCCAAGCAGTTGGTGTTCTCCTTGATGACAGGGGAAATATAAAATGTATAAGGAAGTCATTAGCATCAATTATAGACTCGTGTTTAATTATAGAAATGAGGGCTGCTGTAACTGCACATTTTCAATTTGATTGTTTCACATGCATGTTTATTTAGCTATGTTTCTTCCCTCACTTTTCCATTCTCATTTTATGTGCAAGTTGTTAAGAGTTAACTTTGTATTTTAGGCAACAGAATATTCAGGATGACTGAGGATATCATGGAAGAAGCAAGTCTTGACTTTGTTTCTCCAATGACATGCTCTTAACACAGATTACTTCTGGCATCAGATGTGTGGGGGTATCTTCCCACACCAAACAAGCAAACAATTCTGCAGCAGAGGACAGCAATAGGGCGTGACATTTCAGTTCTGACACTATCAGCCTGAAGATAGCATCAAAACCCACAGATGAGGGCTCAATCCCCAAGGTAGTAGTCCTAAATTCTGACTCTAATCACAAGCCCCAGATGATTTTACTCATGCTTGTGACTAATCAACTAAACATGGAGATTCCCATACCTCCTACATCTCCTCGGGTTGCATTAGTTTTACTTGTGGCTCACAGAATTCAGAGAAACACTTACTATTTTATGGCTTATTATAAAAATTATTTCAGAAGATACCGATAAAGATGTGCACAAGGAAAAGGAGCTTCCCTTATTAGGACTGTGTGCTGGCACAGACTGAAGCCGAGCCAGAGCCAAAGGAGGAGGCCTGGAGGAATGAGAATCTGAACCAAGATTTAGCAGACAGCTTGTCCTGATGGTTCCATGGGAAATAAGCAAGTCTACAATTACTTATGAAGCACAGGATGAAAATTTCCTTAGGCCTTGTCTTGGGTAACTAAGGGAACAGGGGTAAATTTATACAAGTCTTATGGCCCTCAGAAAGAGGGGGTTCTTTCTTAGAAGTGTTTCATGAAGCATGACCAATGGAGGATTTATTAACCTTCACTCTTTCTAGAAGCAGAGTTAAAGTAAACTTCAATATTGCCAATAACCAGGAAAGCTATGATTAAATCATATTGTAGATGTATGTTTAACCTTGCTCATTTTTACTTTATTTTGCCAGTCCTGGGGCTTGAACTCAGGGGGTAGGCACTGTCCATGAGCCTCTTTATGCTTAAGGCTAGTGCTCTCCCACTTGAGCCACAGTGCCATTTCCAGCTTTTCTGGGTAGTTTATTGGAGATAAGATGTTTCTGCCCAGGCTTGCTTTGAACCATGATCCTCAAATCTCAACCTCCTCAGTAGCTAGGATTACAGGCGTGAGCCACCAGCACCTGGCTACTTTTACTTTTTATTATTTATTTGGGTGACACTGAGGTTTGAACTCAGGGCCTTGAATTCACTAGGTAAGGGCTCTAACACTTGATCTATAGTTATATCTCTTTCTGTTTTAGCTATTTTTCAGATAGGGATTTGTACTTTTTTGCTCATACTTCCATGTAGCTGGACTTCTTTACAGACATGATTTACTACTATATTTGGCTTGTTTGTTGAGATGTGCTCTTGCTACCTTTTTTTGTCCAGGCTGGCTTTGAACTGAGATCCTCTTGATCTCCACCTCTTAAATAGCTAGGATTGCAGGTGAATCACTGTGACCAGCTCAATTTAACATTTAAAAAAACAACAACTAGTCGGGCACTAGTGGCTCACACCTGTAATCCTAGCTACTCAGAAGGCTATGATCTGAGGACCAGGACCAGCAAAAAAAAGAAAAAAAGAAAGAAGGAAAGAAAGAAGAAAAGAAAAGAAAAACAAACCTAGCCATTGCTGTGATAGCACATGATTGAAGTCTAACACACAGGAGGTAGAGGCAGGAAGAGCCCAAGTTGAGAATCTACATAATAAGATTCTGTCTCAAAAAAAAAACAACAAGGCCTGGAGAATGGTTTTACTGTTTTTATATTATCTTTAAGGAGTTGTACAAAGGGATTTCAATTCAACAAGACAGATTTTTTTTGGGGTCCAGTAGTGGGGCCTGAACTCTGGGTCTGGGCACTGTCCCTCAGCTCTTCAGCTCAAGGCTAGCGCTCTACCACTTGAGCCACAGAGCCACTTCCAGCTTTTTTCTTTTTGTTACATGGTGCTGGGGAATCGAACCCAGGGCCTCATGCATGCAAGGGAAGCGCTTTACCACTGAGCCACCTTCCCAGCCCTCAACAAGACAGATTATGAGTACAGTGCATCTTGATCAATGGCACTCCTTCCATTATTCTCCCCCCCCACTTTCCCAATCCCATCTATACCCTCAAACTAATGGTTTTAAAAGTGATTGTACTATTTTATAAACACATTAGCAATTTATGAGAGTGACAGTCGCTCTGCATCCTTGCCAACACTTGGCAAAATCAGTCACTTTTGGCCATTCTAGTAGGTGTTCAGTAATGTCACACTATGGTTTTAATTTTCATTTCCATGACAATGTTGTTGACCATATTTTCTGTGTCTTATTTGGTAAAGTAGCTGTTCAAATCTTTTGTCCAACAATCTATTCACTTGGATGGATTGATTTTATCTATTGGCTTCCAAGAGTTCTTTATGTATTCTGGATTCAAGTCTTTTATCCAATATATGCTTGGCAAATCATTTCTTTCCAGGCTGAAGTTTGTATTTTCACAACACCTTTAGGACCTATGACTTGGTAAAAGGTTTGAGATTCTCTCTCACAAGTGGTCTAAGCCAACCTCCTAAGTTCCATTTAGATCTCTATGCTGACTTCTTGAAGTCAGATTGGAATCTCAAGCTCCTGACCCCTGACTCTATCAACCACCTGCCAGTGCCCTTTGTGTCCCAAAGGCTCATTTCGTGCAGTCTATCCAACTCTGAGTTCACCACCCTCTCCACAGGCCTGCTGCCCCTCCTGAATAGCACAGATATCCTCTAGCTAGTATAGGAATTGACCTTGTGCCTCCTTCTCTCTCACTTTCACCAATCATCAATTCTTCCTCTCAAACATCACTGGACCCAGGGGCTGGGAAGGTGGCTCAGTGGTAGAGTGCTTGCCTTACATGCATGAGGCCCTGGGTTTGATTCCTCAGCACCATATAAGCAGGGGAAAAAAAGGCCGGAAGTGGCATTGTGGCTCAAGTGGTAGAGCGCTAGCCTTGAGCTGAAGACCTAAGAGACAGCGCCCAGGCCCAGAGTTCAGGCCCATGACTGGACCCCTCAAAAACATGACTGGACCCACACCAAATCCCTATTGCTCTCATCCACCCCACTCTTCCCCAGACCCTTTTCCTGGGGGGGAACGCGACAGTCCAAGTTCTCAAATGCAAGCCTAGCTTTGCTCCTCTGGTGAGGACCTTCCAGTGTCTCCCATGCATTTAGATAAGGCCCAGACTTCCATATGGGACAAGTAATGCCTCTGGCGATCTATCTGGTCCTTGATTAATTGGGGGGGGGGGCTTGTCCAGGGCTCCATATGTCTTCATATGCCGGAAGCCTGCAAAGTTGGGATTTAAGGTGTTTGTTTTATGTTTGTTGTTGTTGTCCTCAGTCATGCAGGGCTTTAATGCAGGACCAGGGCTTTGTCCCTTCTACCACTTTGAGCCACAGTGCCACTACCTGTTTTCTGGTGGTTATTTGGAGACTTTCCTGCCTGGCCTGGGCTGGCTTTGAACCACTATCCTCAGATCTCAGCCTCCTGATCAGGTAGGTGTATTACAAGTGTGATCCACCAGCACCCAGCTTTGGATTTAAGTTTTAGATGAAATTACATCTCCACTAGAATGCCGATAGTGCAGAAGCACTGGAGGTTATTCCTCATTTCCCCATTACCCACCCTGAACAACAAAGCAGGGTATGTGAAACCAGGGCTGCTGCTATGGTTGGACTTGAGGATCAAGTATCCTAATGCTATTGTCACCTGGGGCAAAACACTTCTGGCCTCAAGCTTCCCCATGAGCAAAAGTAATACAACCAACCCTCTTCTCCGTGTGTCAGAGCGAGAAAACCAAAATATCTGTCTTTATCCACCAGTGCGCTAGGACTTGGTCACTACCACTTTTGATCCAATTCTCAGACGCGGCGCCACGCAGCCCAGCAGCAGGACCTGGACGGGGGTGAAGGAGAGCGAAGCATCCAGGGCACAGAGATTCGGGAAGCGCTCACTCTCTCCGCTGGGAAAGCCTAGGATGTCCCGGGGCGTGACTGTTTCTGAATGCGCTCCACAACACGCGTGACCCAGCGGCAGGTTGGAAGGCAACAAAGACAAAGTCAGCCTATGTCAGTCTACAAGGGCCCGCGCGTGCGCGATTGGACTTCGGTGTCGGGGGCGGAGAACCAGGAGCCCCTCTATTGGCTGTGGTCTGGTGACGCCATCGCGACGCGCCCACTCGCCGTGCCCCTCGTAGAGAAGCTGGAACTGAATCCCGCGCTGGCCGAGGTGGCCCGGGCCGGTGGCGCTGGTTATCTCCAGTGCTCTGGCCTCCGCCACGTTTGACCGGCAGCTCCGCGGGCCCTAACCCTTCTGCGCAGAGTGCCAGGCAGGTTCGGCCGTCACAGCCAGGTAGGCTGGGTCTGGGCCAGCCTGGGATCGGGGCTTCTGCAGGGGGCGTCGCTTGACCCTGGTGACGCGGGGCGGACCCTGGAGAGAGGCCACTGGCTCAGGGGCGGCTGGAAACCGAGGCACGCACGCAGGGTCTAGGAGAGTGGACGCCGAGATTGGGCGGCGGCACGGGCCAACCCGCGCGCGTCTCAGGTGCGGGGCTGGTGCGGTTTTCACTGCCGGCCGTGACCCTTTTGCCGAGTTGGCGTGACCCTGGATTAGGTGGCCCGGTAGTTATTGTGGAAGCTGTGGTCTGGTGGCGTCATCGTGACGCGCCCACTCGCCGCGCGCCTCTTAGAGAAGCTGGAACTGAAGCCCGCAGCAGGTGACTTCGCCCTGTGGATGAATCTTCAGTGCTTCTCTCTGTGTATTGGGGCACCCTACCTGACGAGACTGTTGTGGCATGAACCTGCCTGTGCCTGTCACGGGGGTCTGGGGTTATCTAAGAGAGCAGATGCTCAGCCCTATCTCTGAGGCTCCCACAAGCACAACCAGTCAGGGACTCTGGAGGATTTCTCCTACCTGTGTAACCTCAGTTATGGAGTCAGACATTATGTGTAGAACACTTAACATGATACCTAGCTTTCAGTAGGAGCAGTTACTTACCGGAGTGTATGCACACGTTGGAGCAGTTTTTTTTTTCTTTTCCCCTTTTTTTTTTTTTTTTTAAAATGCTGCCATATGGCTTGAACTCAAAGCTAGAATCTGGGGCTTACAGAGCTTTTGCCACATTTTTGTTAGTTTTGGGGTTTGTTGTTTTATTTTTTTTCCCTAGGGCTATTTGTAAAAGCAAGGCACTCTGCAGGGAAGGACTGTGTGGGGAGGAGTGAAGACTAGACTTCAAGAACAAAATGAGAAGCTAGGCAAAGATGTAGCTTAGTGCTAGAGTGATTGCCTAGCTTGCACAAAGCCTTGAATTTAATCCTCAGCACCACAAAACAAATAAACAAACAAAAACATCAGGATGGGGTTTGTTTAAGTGGAGTCTGGATCTCAAAACATAGCCTAAATTCTGTTACTGTCTCAATAATCTGTGGAAGGAAGACCAGTCATTTGCCTCAAAGTTTGACAATCACCAAGCTCTCCCATGGAAAAAAAAAAAGATTCAAACTCTTGCTTCTCTGATTTGTTCATTGAGAGCCCTGTGTGCCATAGCCATAGTGCCAGCACTGTAGATACTCTAGCAGTACAGGGAAGTCTGATAGAGGTTCTGGCTTGAGCATGTGAGTAATGGAAAACATTTAAGTTAGGGTGCAGATTGTAGGATCAAATTAGCATTTTAAAAACTGCATGAAGCACCTATGAAGCCAGTTTCAACAGAGGACATTTGCCCAACATGTGGCTAATTCTTCATCCTGCTCATTTTCATCTGGCTCAGCCCAGAGTACTTTCTCAGGGAGCTAGACAGAGGTAGAACCATGGTTCACAGCAGTAGTGGCAGGGCCTGAATCACCTGTCAGTTGTCTGTCTCCTGCATGCAAGATGGCAAAACTGAATTTGGCCTACACTGTTTCCCCAGCACCTACAGCAATGCCGGACACTTGAAAACTTTCAGAAAATTCTGACTAAAGAAAAGCTGGAATCCCTGGGCCTAGCTTAGTGCCTGGCATAAAGTAGTCATAAAGTGTAAAAGGGTGAAATGCCCCATATAAACCACTTCCTTTGTGGTTTGCTAGGAATAGTTGGTGAAGCAAAGGGACACTGACTGAAGCCCAAAGGACTTCAGGGATCCTGATGATGGTTCTGATCTTCTGTCCCCAGGTCTTGCTTTTTTTTCATCCCTAGGCCCTGATGCTGGCCTCAGGTAGAAAGAAGTTGCTCACTGCTCTGTTGCAGGCTCAGAAGAGGCCCTTTCAACCCTCCAGAGATATGAGACTGGTGCAATTTCTGGCACCCCACCTGACAGGACCTCATGTGGGCCTAGAGTCAGAGAATGGTGAGGGAGTCATAAACCTCAATGCCTTTGACCCCACACTCCCCAAGACAATGATGCACTTCTTGGAGCAGGGAGAGCCTGCCCTGTCAGTGGCAAGAAGGTAAGTCAGCAGGCAGCAACCCCTGCAGCTACTGCCCTGGTCTCCTTTTCTGTCCTCCCATATCTACCTTCTCCTGAGAATTAGAACCAGCAGGTAGCTCTTTTTACAGGAGCTGCAGAACCTTTCCTTCCTTCTTAGAATGTAGCAACATCTTAAATTTACAAAAAAGGAAACTGAGGCCCTGGGAAGCTAATTAACTGTCCCAAGGCCACACTTTACCTGGTGGAGCCAAGACTTTGTCACACTCTCTGGAGATTAAGTTCCTGTCTGCCTGAGAGGTCTGGGACCATTGGTCCTAAGAAAGAATCTTGGGAAGATTAAAGAGTGATTTAGACTCCTGGCTCAAAGAGGAGGAGGTAGGCTACAAAATTTTCTCCAAGATGATTGGTTTCAGAGTTTGGGCTAAATTAAGTCTACTTAATCTAGGATTTCTGAAGCCTTGTGTAAAAAGTTGAATAGTAAATTAAAACCACTTTAAGAAGTTTATTTTAACTGGGGAAAGCAAAGGAAGGGGTGATCTTGTCCAAAACAAAATGTACTCACTACCTGACTTATAAAACAGTAACTCATCTACACAACACCTTAATAATAATTTTTTGAAAGTTGATTCTAGATTGGCAAAAATAGAAATGTTTGACAGCACCATGTTCCTCTACTATTATATTTTTGAAAGGCTAGAAACAACTTCCATGCTCCTCATTGGGTAACTGAATTTAACTATACAATGTAGTAATATCCAGCCATGAGAAGAATAAAAAATTCTTTATTGTTATGGAGAGATCATCAAAATGCTATTTTTTGGCTTTTTGCATACAGAAAGGTGGGGAAAGAAGCCTGTTTCAGAGCAGCCTTTAAGAGATATTCAGTAATGCTTTGATTGACATCAAAGACAGTAGCTAGGCTTATTTTTTGCACTGACTGATGGTTGAAAAAAAAAAACAACTCATAGCTGCTGTAGGTTCTCCCTAGCCTGCCTCCAGGTTGCTCACCTGTTCCTAACCAGCCTCTCTTCCTCTTGGTTTCTGCAGTGCCCTGACTGCCCAGTTGCCAGTCCTCCCAAGATCAGAGGTGACCCTCCTGGCTCCAATCACGAGGCCAGACAAGGTGGTATGTGTCGGCATGAATTATGCAGACCACTGCAAAGAACAGAATGTGTCTGTGCCCAAAGAGCCCATCATTTTCAGCAAGTTTGGGAGCTCCATCGTGGGACCCTACGATGAGATTGTCCTCCCGCCAGAGAGCAAGGTCTGTACTCCTACCAACTTTTCTACCTCACCCTCCACCAAGAACATTTCTTCATACCATGAAATACTTTTCCTGACACATTTTAGGTTGTCCATGGCTTTCTGTTGTACCATGATCATAATCTCCTCATTAGTTCCCAACAACTATACTTGTTCCAGCTTTGCGCTTTTATAGTGCTGCTGAGAATATCTTTACATAGAAAAGACTGTGTGGCCAGCAATACATAGTTACTGCTTTTAAAAAAAAATTATTTAAGTAGTTGTACAAAGCAGTTGTCATTCAACAAAGCAGTTTATGTATACAGTGCATCTGGATCAATGTCCCCCCTTTCAACATTCTCATCCACCCTCCCTACCCACCCCTTCCCTCACTTTTACTAATTTTTAAGTTATGTATTGAATCCTTTTCATTTAACAAAGCATCCTGTATGTATATAATGCATCTTGATTTGTGTCATCACTTCAACATCCTATTTGACCCACCTCTTCCCTTTACTTGTCTCAATTCTGTGCTATATACAATGAATTCTTGCCTGCATTCTCGCCATTGCCTTTTAATGAATTCTTACTAGAATGTCTATGTAAAACCATAGGCAATGTTCAAAACTTTTGAGCAATTCTGCCAAATTGATCACCGAAAGAATTATAAAAGCATCTTACACATCTACCAACCCTCTCTGTACTCTTATTAAAACTGTTTAGACTTAGCTAGGTGCCAGTGTCTCACATCTTAATCCAAGCTACTCAGGAGTCTGAGATCTGAGGATTGCAGTTCAAAGCCAGCCCAGGCAGGAAAAGCTGGAGCTGCAGCTAAAGTGGTAGAGCACTAGCCTTGAGCAAAAGAAACTCAGGGACAATGCCCAGGCCCTGAGTTTGAGCCCCAAGACTGCACAAACACACACACATACACACACACACACACACACACACACACATCTTGATTCATTTTTCCTTTGAATCTTTAATTTAGAAATGTTCTATAAAGTTGAAAAAGACAATAAAAACTCATATACTTCTGCACTTGGCTTCATTGTCGACACTTTGCATTTTTTGCTTTCTTTTCCCACATGACCACAATTTTTGTGGGGAGGACCTTTGAAAATAAGTTGCATACAATTCACTCATAAAAATTTAAGCATGCATATCCTAATAATAATGACAATGGCCTTTGTGATCATTATACCATTATTACAGATAAGAAAATTAACATGAGGGGCTGGGAAGGTGGCTCAGTGGTAGAGTGCTTGCCTTGCATGCCTGAGGCCCTGGGTTCAATACTCCAGCACCACATAAGCAAAAAGAAAAAAGCCGGAAGTGGTGCTGTGGCTCAAGTGGTAGAGCGCTAGCCTTGAGCTGAAGAGCTGAGAGACAGCACCCAGGCCCAGAGTTCAGGCCCCACGACCGGACCCAAAAAAAAAAAAATTAACATGAATAATACTTAATACATAGACCAATTGTCCCAGTCAGAAATATACCCAGTTACCCCAAAGATAAGTTTAATTTGGTTTCTGTTTGTTGATTCAGATTCTGTCAAACCACACATGGTATCTCTCTTTAGTCATTTTTTTCTTAAAGGGACAGTTAGTATTAGACTTGAGACGTCATATGCTCTCCATATGACAAATAGCTCTGCTATTTGTATGAAAGTTTCCAATGATACTTAAATGAGTGACCATGGGGTTTCAGTAAAACTTACTGACAAAAACAGGCCACATATGGTGGCCATAGTTCTTTCATGACTCTTTGAAGAATCCAATCAAGTTTTCTCATGCTACATCCTTCATTCTAGTTTTGTCTTGTTTCCTCATGATGAAAACAGAGTAAGCATTTTACTAGGAGTTCTACCCAGAAAGTATTGCTTATGTCTCACTGCATCCCATTGGGCAGCTCATGTTAAATGGCCCAAAAATGCAACCACCTGTTTTGCTTAGTGGTCAGCTCTCTCAACTGGAAAATGTGTTTCCTTGTAAATAAGTGGTGTTCTGTGGGTGATAGTTTGAGATTGGGTAACATCTTGTTTCCCCACTGCTTTTTATTTAGGGATGCTATGGTCATTAGAATTCAAATCATCTTAATAGTCATGCCTGAATCCATTATTGCTTTAGGGTTGTCAACTGCCATCTTCTAAAGAAAAATTGCCCATATCCTTAATATCCTTTTGACTTCTTATTTCTATTCACTTGGTTCTAATCCATAATTTTTTGATCACTTGTTTGGCCACTGGGGCCTCCTGCTGGAGGTTCTTAGCCCCCTTTGTCAACTTTTCCTTGCTTTTTCCCCTTACTGCAGACTCTTCTGTGCTGCCTTGAACCTGAAATCGGCCATTTTCCCAAGTCCTTTTAATGAGACTTGGTACTAGAGGTGGGCACCCAGATGTCAGGTATACTTAAACCAGCTGTAGTCCATTCCAGTGTAACAGCAGCTAGTTAGAAAGGCTAAATTGTATCTATTTTTTATACATTTTGCTGATCTGGGAAAAAACTAAACATTTGTTCATGTTTCATAACCATGTGCGTTCCCTGTTTTTTGTGAACTGCTTATTTCCCTTTTTTTGAATTGCTTAAGCCCTTTTCATAATAATTCTGTATTGAAGATCTTATCATTAGAATAAATTAATATATTATAGCATACTAATTGTGCCTGGCACAATTAAGGTTACATTTTGCTAGCTGTTGTTACTTGACATTGAGGGCATCAAGAGGGACTTTAAATTCAATTTCCCAGGCAGGAGTTGTTCCCAGGCAGGGAGGTGTATCTGCATCCAGTATTGTTACCTGCTACTGCCCAGAGCTTATGGGTCTACAAATCACAAAAGTCAATCTTCTATGATTCACTTGGTTCCTGTTCAGACAACCGAGGCCCACTGTTGGAAGATAGGCCCTGACAACGATGTGCATCCTTGCTGCTCAGGACATGTTCCCAGACCACTGAAGCTTCCTGTTTCTCTCCCACTTTACAGGAGGTGGACTGGGAGGTTGAGTTGGCTGTGGTCATTGGAAATAAAGGCAAGCACATCAAGGTGAGGTGAAATGGGGTAGCCAGGTTAAGAGAGTGGAACAGAGTGTTAGAGAGCCAGGAACAGAGTGTGGTCAACACCAGCTCCTGCCTCTGCTGATGTTGAGACCTCCCCATCAGTGACACTGGGACATAGTCAGCACCCACCTACCCCACTGCTGCCCTGCCTCTTACCCACCTTTCGCTAGCTCTGGCAACTAATGTGGGATAATGGCTTCAAGATCCTTTGTTCTAGGGGTTGATGCCACCTGTGATGTAACCTCTCTGGCCAAATCTCCTGCCCCCATAGGCCACAGACGCCATGGCTCACGTGGCTGGCTTCACTGTGGCTCATGATGTGAGTGCCCGGGACTGGCAAATGCGACGCAATGGGAAGCAGTGGCTGCTGGGAAAAACTTTTGACACATTCTGCCCCCTGGGCCCAGCCTTAGTTACCAGGGACAGTGTAGCAGGTAGGTCCTTTGCCATTTCTTCCTCTTAGACAACACCTCAGTGTTAAGAAAAAGTGCTGCTCCAAGGAGTAGGAATCCTGTTATAGCTACATGTAGACACCTTTCCCTCCCAGCTGCTCTGTCACTGTGGGTCCAGCCTCAGGCTTGAATCCCCCCGTGGGATGCTTCTCCAAACTCTAAAGGGAACACAGCTGCAGTGGTTTTGAAACTGCCTTCATAAAGTGAATTATTACAAAGAACAGCACTCACAATCCTCACTGTCTTAGCATCCCGGCTAGAATTATAGGCATAAGCCACCATATCCAGCTAGGTCTATATTTTCAAGGCAAAACCTGCCTTATTTTTCTCTCCCTCACTTCAGAGTCTGAAATGTCCATCACTCACCTAGGTGGCTACTATCTGGTACTCTAGGGATGGTAGAGATTCTGGGAGCCGATGTCTATAATAAGTCCCAAAGGAAAGTGTCAAGCCCATGAGGGCAGAGAGCTTCTTCATCTGGCATATCATGAAGTGCACCCCCCTCCACACACACAACTGCAGTTTCATCTTTCTAGATGTGGGAGGGGGTTTATGGCAGAAAAGGGATAACCCATAATATTTGCATTCCAGATCCACACAATTTAAAGATCTGCTGCCGAGTGAATGGGGAGGTGGTCCAGAGCAGCAACACCAACCAGATGGTATTCAAGACTGAAGAGCTGATAGCCTGGATCTCCCAGTTAGTGGCCCACCCCATACATACACCTGGAGGCTGAGCCAAGATATATACTCATCATCTCACCAGCCCTTTATTTTGCTTTAGGTTTGTCACTCTTTACCCAGGTGACATCATCCTGACTGGAACCCCCCCAGGTGTTGGTGTGTTTCGGAAGCCACCTGTCTTTCTCCAGGTAGGTTAGCTAATGGAGGAAAGAGAGGCAGTATAAGGACCAAGATGGCCTGGAAAGCTTGGTTGTAGCATGTATGTGTGTAGGTAGATGTGCCAGAGCCAAGGGCTGAGACCCTTATGACCTGCTCTTTTACAGAAGGGTGATGAAGTTCAGTGTGAGATTGAAGAACTGGGTGTCATCATCAACAAGGTGGTGTGATGGTTTTGCAAGATGGAGCATCCACACTCACCCAGCCTACTGCCAACCTTGCCTCCCAGAGGCCACTGTTTTCAGTAGTAGGAAAGAATGTAGAGCTCCCACAATAAATTTGCAAAGCCAAAGCAGCAGCTTGGCTTCTGCTCCTATCTTCTTTTAGGGCATGCTTCAGGGAGTGAGAGGGGACATGGAACATTTTCATAGGGGTGGGGAAGGAGGGAGCAGATACATAGACATACATACACCAAAAAACCACTGCAGAGCTTGGAGAAAGAGAACTCTTTATCACACTGAAGGATGGAGAAAGCAAGACTCTAAGTCCAGCTGATTCTGGACCTAGCTGCAGATGAACTGTCGGATGAACTGTTCCAGCTTGCCCTGATTATCCTGGCTGGCAAATGTAGGGGACAGGTAGAGCTGGGGGCCATCAGGGCTGGGCATCTGCTGCAGCACCTGGGTCATGAAATGAACTGTGAACCTCTCACCCTGGGGACTTTTGCCACAGGACCAAACTTGTCCCCTAGATCTCTAATCCCTCGGGGCTCCAAGTCTTAAGTACAATGCTGTTACATATCTCTGGAATCCTAGTATCCCACCAGGATAAAGCAAGCAAGTGGTTTAGAAACTTAGAGGGGTAAAAAAACCATCCAGTTTACCACATCTATGCCTGGATATTTCCTAGGGTCTTATGAGCCATCCTAAAGGCCAGCACCATGGGGCTGAGGGAAAGCAGCTCTACCAGCTGATGGGGCTGGGGCGAGAGTAGGGGAACACAGAGGATGGGGATCCCATCTCACCCCTAGGTCTCTGAAGGTCCAGATAGCACTGATGGCCAAGTTTGGGTCGGCACACTCTGGAGGGAAGAAAAGTAAAGGCTCTAGGGAGAGAGGCCTGAGAGCAATAGGCACAGCTTTTCTCTTCCTTGTTTAAAGAACTCCTAGGAACAGGGTTCTTTCAGATGGGACCAGAGGCCAGCTGTACTTTGGGCTTTCCTCTCTAGAGTAAGGCAGCCACTGCCAGCAGAGGGCAGCAATGGCCAGCAAACCCTCCTACCTCCAGGAGCCTCACCAAAGATCCCTTCTTCCTGGGCAGAGTTCTGTAAGAATTGCAATAGCTGCTCCATGTAGCCAGACTCTGCAAAAGAGGAAGACCTAGACCCAGTCGCACAAGATAGAGCCCTTCCCTGAGCACGGCAAGGGGAGGGAAACCTCACCTGTATCAGGTAGCTTTCCCAGATGGAGGAAGGTAGCAGCCTGAGCAAAGACCTTAAGCAGTGGGTTGAGGAGGCGGCAGAGGAAGAGGAAGAAGTCAGGGCAGCGAGACTGCTGTCTGAGCTGGAGAGGGGCAGGCCAGTGTGAGAGCAGCTCATCAGTACCTTCCTACCACCGTCCTCCCACAGTGGCTTCTCCCAACACACCCTGAAGTACCGGCCCTCAGCCTCCTTGAAGTCATCACTGTCACTGTCAGTAAAGTCCCCACTTGGTTTCCACAACAGCTTTGCACTCAAACGTCGTCTCCCTGTGTCACAGGCTGGCCGGGAACCTGGGGTCTGGAGACCATGAGAGCCATTGGTCCCTGACAGGCTGGGCAGGGATCAGCCCTCCAGTCCCCAGACCTGATCCATGCAGGTGAAATCAGTGAAAAAAAAATGGATCTAGGAAGCTCAAAAGGAGGCCTGGAGCAGTGGCAGGCACTTAGGGTTGAGAGGAAACATCCTAAAAAGCCACAGCACTGTGGATAAGAAATGCAGAGGTGGGGTAGAGTAGGAAGACATACATAAGCCCAGGGAAGATGTGGAGTCAGGCCTCTATGGGCCAGTGGCAACCCACCTACAGCACATACCCAGTACAGGGACCTGGGCAACTCGCTCAGGGTGGGAGACTGAAGGAGGCCAGGACCCAGGCAAGAGGTTTTTCTCCAACTGTCCTGCCTACCTCCTCAGCAACCAGGAGCCCACACTGGATGAGGCGGTCCAGCACCTCCTGACAGTAGCAGTAGGAAGACTGGCAGGGCTATTAGGGAATGAAGAGCATATGTGGCCTTAGGAGAGCCACGGCCAGGGTTAGTAGCTTGGGCAAAGGCAGGGCAAGGCCAGGCCCAGCACCACAGGTTGGAGGGCGAGCAGAGGCCTGACCTGCAGCAGCAGCAGGTCCTGTGGCAGCAGATGCAGCAGGAGCAGGATTTGGTGGTACAGTTCGTTCTGGCTCAGCAGCTCTATTCCCTGCAGCTCCCAGGGACCCTCAGGTGGCACTCTGCCTGCCAGCAGCCCCCACACTGCACAGGCTAGCACGGGGGGGGGGTAGGGCATGAGGAAGAGGGCATTCACCTCTCTCCTGCACACACATCCCATAACCCTAAACCCTTGGGTCTCACCACCCACAGCCTCGCTCAGGAAGGCAGGAAGCAGCTCGGCACTCAGGCGTGCCAAGTGTGTGAGGCCTGGGCCTGGCCGTGGCACAACTACCAAGTCCCCCTGATGGACATGCAGCAGAACCACATGCTCCCTCAGTAGGCCCAAGGTGTGCTGTGCCAGGCACCGCAGCTGCCCAGAGAAGCCGACATCAAAGCCACGTAGAAGTGTCTCTTCAGTCAGCCAGGAGAATTCCCCCAGAAGCTGTGACAGGAGCACACCCTAGAGGTAAAACAAGCCTGTGCATGAGGACACGGACACACACACACACACACGCATGCACATGCACATGCACACGTATACACACGCACACTACAGCCCCACCACATTGAGCCCTACCTTTGAGTGTTTGAAGAGTAGCAGTGTTGCCATAATGGCTGTACTCATCACGGCAGAGCTTGCCACGCTGGCTGGGGGAAGGATGCTGTTAGGAGTTGGGGCCCAGAGGTCTGATCCCTCCTTTTTATCTGTGAAGTGCTCCTAGCCCCAACTCTACCCCTCAGCATTTACCAAATATGCTGAGTGCCACAGCCCTTCTGGCCCAACCATAGTCTGCCTCACAGAGCACATTAATAAGCTGGATGGGAGCCTGCTCGGTGCTCATGTCAAGCTTCTTACATGTATTTTTTCCAGTCAGCACTTACTCCCATTGAAAGCCAAGGACAGCCCAAGGTAGAGCTGAGTAGAACCTGGGGTGAGTGGCTACCACTGGGCCTGTGCCCTCTGTACCATTCATCCTAGGCTCACTAAGCTGCTCCACTCAGATGGGGTGGGGGGGAGGAGGGTTCCACTATTCTTGTGTTGCCAGTGTGCCAACAAGGAAGCAGGAATAAGGTGTGCACACCCAAGAAGCCCTGACTACTAGCCAACCCAGAGAGAAAGGACAGCTCTAGATCTGTCCCAAAGAGGCAAATCTTGTTCCCCCTTACCATTCAGTACGTGGCGACTCAGTCTCCTCACCAAGAGCTGGTCCTCTTCTTTGAGGGCCAAAAGAAGCCCAGTTGTTGGAGTCCATTCTTGCTCTTTCTCGGTGTCTGGGACAACAGTACTGGAGTAGACACAGATCAAATCATGAAAGGACAAAACCTAAAAGCAGTCATGGGAAAGTCTAAAACCTACACCAAGGTACAGCTGTTTCCCCAACCCCAGGCCAGGCGACCTCTCATGCCCTCTTTCCTGGGATTGTGCCCTTATCTCACATGCAGACTACAGGCAAGCAGGTATTTCTGCCACTTTAAATGACCCAAGATTGTTCACGTGCGGAGGCCAGGAGAACACTACACAGCTGAAGGGCTGCCCACCTGCCCAAGACCCTCACGCCCCTGCCCCTACCATTGGCCCAACACGATGGGTTGTAGCAAGTGCTCCAGGGTCTGCCTGCCAACCCAGCAGCTTCTGGCATTGATGATGTATTCCTGCCCAGAACGAAGAGTCTTGTGGTGGCCTGCTTTGCCCACCCCCAACATACGGCCTACCTCAGCAAAGCAAGAGGCCTGAGGACCAGGCTGCCATAATCCCCGCTTCAAATCCCCAGGCTCTCCCAACCTTACCCAGGTGGCTCCATACCTGCAGAGAGAATGGCTGGGCAAGATGCACCCGGACACAGACCTTATGGTTGCAGCCCCAGCAGCTGCGCAGTTTCCGAAGGACAGCCAGAGCTCCTGTCCACAGCCCTAGGGAGGTGGAAGCCTGTAGGGAGAGGCTGAGTGTGCTAGGGATGCTACTCTTGGGCAAGCCTTGGAAGCTGCCATCCCATACTTCATGCAGCACCACTGCTCCTCTCGCTGTTTCAACTTTAAGGCTTGACTTCATGCCCTCTCCAGCCCTTGTTTTCTCATCCATAGATCAAGAGAAATACCTCTTTAGCAGGGATGAAATGATGGCAAAGGCTATGGGGGGGGGGCGCTAAGGAGAACTGACTAGGGAAAATTGCTTTACACACACATCCCCCCAATCCCTACTCCTCCCCACCCAGTCCTAAGGGGGACTCAATCACAGGATTCTATAGTATGCCTCCACTTCCTGTCTGGAACTGGTATCTACTTGAGGTCCCCAGGGGCAGGAGGGTCTCACATGATGCCTGTCATATGGTGCGTCTGGAACCAGGTCATAGGTGATGGCCACTGGTACCAATGTGACATCTGGGACAATGCCTGACTGGATTGCATGCACCACCAGTCCTAGCCAGGCCTGACCTTGGGCTGAGAGCCTGGCTCGTGGGGCCCCAGGAGGCTCTTCCAGGAAGATTAATAGGGGCTGCTCACTAACCAGCAACTGCTCCATGACCTGGAATGGAGAAGTAGGGGGCATCAAGTCCAGAGCAGGCACAGGCCCCTGGACCTCCGGCCTGGCCTACAGATAGCCACAGAGAACACTTACCGCATGGACCACAGTCCTTGCAAGGATTCCCTGGGAGCTGTCCAAGGGCAATTCAGCCTCTGGGGGCAGGAAAAGCCCCCCAAGATGCCTCAGCAGAGCTCTGTGGGCACAGGGCAGAGCCTGATGAGAAAAGGGCTCCAGAAGTGGGACTGAGCCAGCGGTTGAGAGCCTTGCCTTGTCCAAGCCAGACTGTCCTGCTTGAACATCTGAAGCAGCCCTGGGACCCATGGCTGACTCTCCATCTGCCTACTCTCCATGTAGCCATGCAGCTGGAAACAGTGGCCTAGGAGAGGGCTTGTAAGGGAGCTGCCACCAGACATACGCATACACAACTGCCTCAGCCTGGGACTCCTCGAATGTGTGTCTAGGAACCCAAAGCTCTTACCTGAGAGCAGGGGAGCAGGTGCAGGGGTCCCAAGCTACACGGAGCACACCCAGGCCCTGGGAGAGCAGCACAAAGGGCAGGAGGATTCCATCCAGTAGGGACTTATGAGTAGACAGAAGGACGAGTGGTCCCTAATACAAAGAAAGCCAGAAGGAACTGCCCAACTGCCCCTACCCTACAGACACAGGGAGTCAAACTCCAGCATCTGCAGTCAATGCAGATCTGAGGGCGGGAGGGTCCAGCTGAAGAGTTCCTCCTTTGTGCATGTCTCCCAGAAGTAGAATAACCTAACAACTTTTAAGGTAATGCACTAATGTAATATTGAGCCCATGATGGAAAGACATTAGAGGAAGCCCCATGGGAACAGGACCGTGAGACAGAGGGAAAGCCACCCAAAAGCAGAACATTTTTCCCACCAGCTGATTGGGGGATGGGACTGGCCTGGATTTAGGGACCGGCCTCCTATCTGTTCCCATCTTCCCATCCCTGAGCCAGCTTACCGCCTGGGCAGCCTTGTGGACCATCTTCATCTGGCCCTTGTGGAGCTGCACGTTCAGGAAGAGGTGGTTCAGGAACCTCAGCAGCGCCCAGCTGAACAGCCTGGGAAGTGAAACCAGCCTGAGGTACAGCAGGGCTACTCCCCACAAGGCTTGATCCCACGGCACCTGGGAGGCCAACCAGTGCTCCTTTGAGGCAGACACTATTCCTGCCCCATTTGACAGAAGAGGGGCATGAGGCTCAGAGGGACTATACTCTGCTTAATGGAGTGGAGTGCCAGCTGGAAGGGGGCCTGAGACGCTCAAGACCATATGATATAGCTGGCTCCACTTGTCCCACCTGAGACTAAAGGACCTAGACTCATTCCAGGCAGAACCCAGCTTCTGCAAAGAACTAGGAAAGGTGGACCAAAAGGAAGGAAGGAATGACACAAAGATAAGGGATCTTGGGAAAGGCCCTGGTGGGGAGCAGGGCTTTACCCAGAGGCCCAATGGGACTGCTTTAACTGATGACAGAAGTGTAGATGCAAGAAGCAGCTAAATGAGCACAGCAGCAAATTCCCATCTGATGCCTTCTATTTCTCCAGAGTTTAAGGTAAGGCATCTGAAGCCAGAAGTGAAGTATAGCTCAAGTGGTAGAATGCTAGCCTTGAGCAAAAAAAAAAAAAAACACTCAGAGGCCACACCCAAGACCTAAGTTCAAGCCCAGGAAATGCATACATGCACAGATCTGAAGCAATCCTGGATGAAAAGCACTGGACAATGCCACACGACCCTATCAGGCCTACCCAAACTGTTTCTCTGGAACCATTTGACTGCTTTAAGTGCACAGAGGCCAGTGGCTGGGGCTGTACTACTTCCTACGGGCATGAGCATCATGAGGAGTACAGCTCTAAGCCAGACTACAAGAGAGAGAAAGACTAGAAGGCCTGTGATTAGAGTATAGGTGGACAATGAAAGGACTGGAAGTCTCAACAAAATCAAACTATCACAGTAGAAGGCTAGTCAAGAGCCAATAACCTCTACCTTCTAGCCTTGTTCAGTCAGTCACTCAGGACTTAAAGACAGTGGGATAGATCCATGTGCATAACCCTGAGCCCTCTCCCTCAGTGACTTACTTATTCTGTTGTTAAACATCAACTGCATGCTAAAGCTCTGAAAATGTATGTATGCCCCCAGGCTCACTCCTGAGTTTCAGACTTGGGTGTATGTGACCAAGTTCTCAGTCAGAAACCAAATTTCTTTTTTTTGGGGGGGGGGTTCCGGTCGTGGGGCCTGAACTCTGGGCCTGGGCGCTGTCCCTCAGCTCTTCAGCTCAAGGCTAGCGCTCTACCACTTGAGCCACAGCACCTCTTCCGGCTTTTTTCTTTTTGCTTATGTGGTGCTGAGGAATGGAACCCAGGGACTCAGGCTTGCAAGGCAAGTGCTCTACCACTGAGCCACCTTCCCAGCCCCCAGAAACCAAATTTCTTACACCCAAAACATGTTTCTTGGACCAAACTCCCTCCTCCCATCTGTCTCCCTATGTTCATATCCCCAGGTACTAGACCAGAAGCATCCACACACTTTTCCACTATCACAAGCCCTACCACCTAACCCATCAATGAGTCCTTGAGCCCTGGCTCCACATGGCCCAAGGCTTCCAGGTGATTTTCTGGTCTCTACTCTCGACTTCCAAACTCATGATGTTATTACTCCTCACTTAAAATCTTTCAACCACTTTCACTGCCATTACAGATCCAGCCAGTAGCCCTGCATGAGGTGGTCCCTTCCACCTCTCAAATTCAGGTCCAGCATCTTGTCCTCTCATTTGCCAGCTTCCAACCATGCAAACTTCTTGGGAAAACCAGGCCTTTTTCTGCTCTGGGCCATAGCTCATATGTTTCCTCTATCAAAACCATTCCCTCCACTAACACTCCTTGATCCCCAAGGCTAGCTACTTTTTCAACTTCTGGCCCTCATATGCAAATCTGAGCCTCTCCTAACAGGCCTTTTCAGTCTTGCATTTGTTCCTTCCTTCTAGCCACCCTGTGCATTGTTCACCCTAATGGTTCCTCTGAACAGTGCCTACATCTAACATGTATGCAGACCTGTGCTAGATAAACACAGGTTGGGGGGTTGGGCTCCCTGCAACCCACGTTAGTAAACATTGAGTTTCCCACGTAGCCCTTCCCTAAGCCCAGCCAAAACCCATTCTCAAAAAAAAAAAACAAAAACAAAAACAGAAGTTCCAGCTTAGGGGATGCGCCCCTAAGCACAGAATTACCTAAGCAAGAAGGGGCGAGGCGGAGCCTGAATGTGACCCAGGATGCGCTGCACCTCTTTCTTCACAAAGTCAGGTGTTTGGCCTTCCCCAGATCCTCCTGGGACCCTTCCTGAGAGAAGGTTCTGCACCCTGTGGGGTGTCAAGGTAGTGGTGTTGGACTGGGGCAGACCAAGGATCTATCAGGACCCCTCCCCAGGGCACAGCTGGCAGCCTTCACCCTTCTTTGAGAAGAGCCTAGGCAATGCTAGCATTCCAGGAGCCTTCCTCAGCCAGATCTCTCAACCACATAGGCCTGAAGCCTTTGCTACCATCCCGGTAGTGCCATCCAGACCCCGATCTGCCTCCTCACCCAGGGCTTTCCATGATCTTCTGCGGAGTATCCTGGCAGGGGGTTATGTGCTGCTCCAGGGACCACAGAAAATAGCAAAGCCTGCGAACCAGCCAGCCTCGAAACCTGGGCATAGCCCCCAGAGCAAGAAGATGATAGTTCAGATAGGGCCTTCCAGGGCCCACAGAGGGCTGTTCAACAGCAAGGGATCACACCCCAGTCCTGTAACCACAGGACTTAAGTTTGGGTTAACATAAAACAGAGATGGTAACTGCTTACCCATCTGTGTTCCCCTTCCACCCCACTCCCCACCGAGGGGTACAGGTTCAGAGCCTGACACCTTCAATGTGATCCATACATGTGCACAGAAGGCACTGCAGGAGAACATCAAGCCTCTCTCCACTGGATATGGAGCAGAGAACAGGCACCCTTCTTTCCACCACTGGCAAAACAATGACACCACAAAGCAGGGTGGTAGCAGCCCACCGCCCTGGCCCACCCCCCAGCTCTCACTACCTGGTATTTTCCTCCTTTACCAGGATCACGTTGCAAAAGCCCAGATCTGTAATGCTTCTGTGGAAGAGGGACTCCTGCCCATGGAGAATAGGGATAGCATGTCCTGGAGGTTTTTTTGCTGACCAGAAGACCGTGCCCTACCCCCTCCAGCCTCTGTCTGATAGTCCTTTAGTCCTATCCAAGGAAAAAACACCATACCTCCCAAAAGACATTTGGCCCCAGATCAGGAAAAGGGATTCTGTACCCAAAAATGGAAGCACTGCATCCTGTACATCATTACCCTCTTGGTCAGCACCACAACAAAGTTACTCTGTTGACGGCAGAGAACCTGATCTCAACTAGAACTCTAGGCTGCTTCAGCACCAGCACATGTCATGGACATGCAAGAGTTCTTCATACATGTGCTAAATAGTTGGAAGTCTGGGAAGTGTCCCCAAATTGAGCAGGACTCCTTAGACACCAGCATTCCAGGCTCAATCTATCTCCCTCTAAGAGCTCCTGCTGTACCTCCCACCCAACTTTCCCAAGCCTAGATCTAGCCAACCACAGCCCAAAACAAACCCAATGGCCATTATTCTATCTTTCTGAAAGACAAAAGCAAGGGAAGGGTCACCCTTAGAAAGATATAGGAAGTAGCTTCCCAGGTATATGGCTCCCAGAATCAAAGTAGCTCAAGTGTTACAGGATGGGGCCCATTCCTATCATCACTTACCCAGCTCTTGGGCGTACAGGTCTGACAACAGAGACCCACAAAAGGACGATACTTCCCTAAGAATGGGGTAACAGCCTCCAATTTCATCCCAAAACCTGAGGACCACAGGCTGGTCTGGAAAAGAGCCACAGGATTAAATGAGAGAACTCAGGGAAGGCCCTTGGAGAGAAGAAGGGCAGGTCCCAGGAAGTGAGAGGCACAGAGAAATGGGAAAGCAGGGGGTGCTCTGAAAATGGGAGAGTTCCTGTTACCTCTTGGCCATTGTGGCTGCTCCTCTGCTGGGATTGGGGCTGGGATTCCAACACGGTGTCCATGAGGTATCTATAAGGTCTGAGAGCCAAGCACTTCTGCCTCTCTCTCTTTGAAACCTGACCTAAGGAAAGGTGGAGAAAGCTGAAGTCACATGAAATCTAAGCCACAACCTAGAAGCTCCTGGGGTGACCCCAAGGCCCCATCCTCATGAAAGACCAACAATACTCAAGCCAATGAAAGCAGTCCAATCTCTATCCCATATCCAAGGAGTCTCTCACCAAGAAGCTGACATAAAGTCTCACAAAATTATGTCAAATAAGTCAGGATCAGAGAGACCAATGGAACATGGCACAGATTAGAGCTGTAATGGAGATTTGGGAAAGAGCAAGTGCTGCACTGGTAAGAGGAATGAGACTGCCATGGAGAACTAGATCATCACCAAGAAGCCACCAAGTCCTCTCAGCTGCTCTTCTCTCCACCAGAAGACAGCTCTTTGCTTATTTTGTCATTCCAGAATATGGGCCAACTACTAAACAAGAGACAACTGGTGGGAGCAGAAATTACAGAAAGCCCACACAGATCTATTCACAAAGAAATGCTCATTCAGGTGAGGCCAACATAGATTTTCCCACAGTCTCCTCTCATGTAGCATCCTCCAAAGACGACTTGATATCTCAGCTCCATTCTTAGCATCAACTAGCAAATATCTGCTTTCCAAAGAACAGCATTAAACCTCTCCTAACCCATAAACTAGGTCCTAAAATCCCCCCACCTTGATCTCTCACCATGTCCCTAACAAGCAGGATGACCTCATCATTTACTTTTTCTTCACTACCATTCCACTAAGCACACCTCCACCTGTCAGTGCCTTTTCCCTTCCTGCCACCACCAAATCCTGACCATGACTCCACATTATGCCTCATGATTCCCCCTCTGCTACCTTGGTTCCCTTGCCCACGCTTGCTAGGCAAGAAGTCTTGAGAAGCCCTCCTCCAGGGCTCTGGGGCTCATGCACTAAATCATCTCAAAGTGTTTAGGGCAAGAGCTGCAGCTGATTCATCTTTAGCCAAGCATTTACACTGCATGGAGGAGAGTGGAACTTCCACTCCAGGAATTCCTCAGCTTGCTCCTCCTCTCTCCAGGTAGCACAATCTAAAACTAGGATGATGAACAGTAACAAGATCCTCTAGAGTCTGTGCATACAGACTCTAGAGGAAACATAAGACACACACTATTGTAAATAATGTTTACACAACCCATTCGTGGACCGTTGGCACAAGGAGGCTCCAAGCCAATGCTGTAATTTAGGGAGTTCTGCCTCCTCTACAAGAAGATGTCTGCTCCTTAGCCTCAAACTACCCTCAGTCCCAAAATCTAACCTCACTAAACCCATGCTAACCCAAAAGGGACAGAGTAAAAGACAGGCCAATGGATAATTTCCACTTGCCAACTCGGTCAATTACTCAGCTCCCACAATCCAGGTCAGCTCTGGGCCTTATCTTCTAGCACCCAAATTCCCCAAATGGGGACCTCTTTTTACTTGTATCTCCGGCCTGGATGCCCCTTCCCCCAGAGTCATCTACAGGTTGCAAATCGGCATCCTAAGGATCAAGCAAGTCACCTATGTATTGTTACTGGCCACACGTGCTAAAATAGTATGGATTAAGATCATTTAAAAGAAGAGAACTTGTTATATAAAAATCAGGTTTTCCAGCTGCTGTAAAAAATGATCTGTGAAAATATATGTCAAAGGGCCTCACCTGGCTGAAGGTGGGAGACCACTGTATCTTTCACTGGCACTGTGAGCCCTAGCAGTAGCACCACATGGTGGTGTGTGTACAATCCTTACTCAATGGACAAACAAGAAACCTGTTCCCAGGTAAGCAAGGTGTGTGTCTTACTAAGAGCCACCAAAAAACGCATGCTTTAAGGTTCAGCTCCAACAAGTAGGCCATCATCACCCCGAAACCCACGCTAGGGAGACCCGTGGCAGGCGATCTGAAGCTGCTGGGAGCTGCTCTGAGATGTACAAGGGAGGGACACGGAGCCACACATCCATTCTGGACCCCACCCTCCCACCCCGACCTGTCTAGGGTGACACGGGCTGAGGGCGGGGAAAGCGGTTCCCCCCAGCACCAACAAGATGGCTTCCCAAGGGACTAGTCCGTGGGAGAGGCCCCAGCCCGCAGGCCACCCTGCCGGTTCCCCACCAGCATCTGAAAGGCCAGGCCTGCCTAGGTCCAAAAGCCGGAAAGTGATAGGCCCCGGCTCTGCCCGGGAGCAGCTCTTTCCCGTCTCACCTCGCACTGTGGCCAAGTCCCGCCAGAGCAGCAAGCAGGAGAGATGGTAATGGCGTCCTCTGTGCGCAAGGCTTAAGAGCAGCCCTGAGAGCCAATTGGGACACGCGCTGGGTCCTAAGCCCCGCCCTGAGGCGCATGGCCCGCCTCACGCTGTGTGGCCACGTGACCCTCTGCAGGCCAGGTGGGTGCCCGCAGGAGCTTCGGTTTGCCCTCCCACGTGGGTCCCCTAAGAGGCGCCTGGCGACCTGTGGAAATGCCTGCCAGACGAGGGGTACTGAAGGTTGGGCTAGGACTCAAGGATACGGATTCTAGGGGGAAAAGTCCTCAAACCTGGCGCTGGTAATCATACCTACTCAAGAGGCTGAGATCTGGGGATGGTGGTTCAAAGCCAGCACGGGCAGGAAAGTCTGAGATGCTAATTTCCACCTAACCACCAGAAAGACGTAAGTGGCACCGTGGCTCAAAGTGGTAGAGCACTGGCCTAGAGCAAAAGAGCCCAGGAACAGCACCCAGGCCTCAAGTTCAGGCCCCACAACCAACAAACAAACAAAAAAAAAAAAGAGTTCTCAGACTCTACCTACCATCAACCTGAAAATCAGCTCTAAATCCTGAGTTGTAGGCACTTAGAAAAGAGAGATCACACTGGTGTTGGTGATTTCCACCTATAATCCTAGCTGAGATCTGGGAATAATGGCTGGAAGCCAGCTGAGGCACACAAATCCTCCAATCAAACAGCTAATATCTGGTGGTAGAACCCCACCTGTGAGCAGGAAAAGCCAAGTGAGTGTCAGGCTTCAAATTCAAGCCTCCAAGTGCAAGGGGGAGGTTGGGCACAGGTGTAAGGAAAGGAAAAGTGCAATCACCAAGAATGGGTTTGAAAAACAAATCACACCTCTTCAGGGTTCTTACCTTTGATAACTAGAAGTCTGGACTAAAAGACCTGCTTCTGTCACCAGGGGCCTAGATTTCTGCTGCCCTATGCCCACTATGCTCATCATGAAATTTAGGTGATGAATACCCAACTCATATCAGTCCTAAGCAACCTGTGCATGGAAACTTTATGGGTTCAGTCGCTGTCTTTTGTTAGTTGCTTAATTATTCCAGTGCCAAGGCTTGAACTCAAAGTTTCCTCCTTTCCCCCAGCCAGCCCCCTCCCTCGCATTTTTTGCTCACAGCTGGTGCTATACTTGAGCCATGTGTCCAGTTGGCATTTTTTTCTGGCTAGCGACAGATGGGGGTCTTGAAAACGTTTCTGTTTAGGCTGGCTTTAAATTATGATCCTCAGCTCTCAGTCTTCTTAGTGGCTAGAATTACAGGCATGAACCATGGGCACTCAGCCTTCACATAGGTTTTGACTGCTCCCCAAACCCAGCAGAAGACCAGCAACCTTTGCAAGGCATGAAATACAGACTAAACAAAGTGAATGTGTTTTGCTTCTATTCCTCCTTACCACAATCCTACCCAATACACATACACATGCCTGATGTGCCAGAGTATTCCACTTCCAGAACATCATGACACTTCAGGACAAACCACATTGAGCCTGGCTGGGCCCAGAGAGCAGAAGACCCACTCTCCCTTCATTGTACCATTTTATTTCTTTCTACCTGGTCCTCATTTCTATGTCCACTTACTTCGATTCACATTTAGGATGTCCTACTACCCCTTGCAGGGTCCCTTTTGTGCCACATCTTACCTTTTGGGTTTTGCGGGGAAGTTTAAAATGAGTTTGAACTCAGGGCCTTGTACTTGCCAAGGAGACATGACTCCAGCCCTTTTTATTTATTTTTCCAATTGGATTTTGTATTTATGATTGAGTATACCTGGACCACGATCCTCCTATTTATGTTTCCTGGGTAGTTGGGATGACAAGCACTTGCCATCACACTTAAGCTTGTTGCCCAGGCTGGCCTCCAATCACAATTCTCCTGATATCTGCCTCCTGAATAGATAGGATTACAGGTATGAGCCACTATGCCAGGCCCATCTTACCTTGTATCATTTGTGCAGGCTACTAGAGCCTGAGATTTTGAAAAACAAAGCCCAGGACAAATGCTTCCAACTAGAAATTGCATGGATTGTGATGGCACATGGTTGTCATCTAGCAGAGTTCTGTGCTCAGATATGTTGCTTCTTCAGAAATAATGTGTTTTGTTATGATGATGGTGGTACTGGTGGTAGTTTGCTGAAATCTGACATAAAAAAGCAGCATTAGCCGGGCACCGGTGGCTCACACCTATAATCCTAGCTACTCAGAAGGCTGAGCTCTGAGGATCACGGTTCAGAGCCAGCCGAGGCAGAAAAGTCTGTGAGACCCTGATCTCCAATAAACCACTAGAAAACCAGATGTGGCGCTGTGGCTCAAGAGGTAGAGTACTGGCCTTGAGCTGAAGAGCTGAGGAGCAGCGCCTAGGCCCAGAGTTCAAGCCTAAGACCAACAACAACAACAACAAAAGCAGCATTAGTTGTAGGGCTAGGTCTGAGTTGAGGACCCCTCTTCTTCAAGGAGCTTGCAGAACATACAAATGCAATGTAACAGGACCTGCAGAGCAGTGACCATATAGACTAAACCAATTGTAACCCATACAACCTTGGGAGAAAGAGAAACTACTTTGGGCTTGGTCCCACCCAACCTGGACTGGACTTAGAAGTCTCAGATTTGACATAGGCTAAAATGACTACCCAGAAGTTCATGATGCATGTAAGTGACCTCCTGGAGTCCAGAGAGGTTAAGTCCCTCCCTGTGGTAATGATAATAATAT